CACACACACACACACACACACACACACGTTAGAAGTTGGACGACTGTGATGTTCAGAATGCTCTGTGATAAAAATGTTGTCTATGTGTTATTGTCGTTGTTTTTTTTCACCTCTGTTCAGTTTTCCAAACTCGCTGTGGAAAGCTCCCAGCAGCGTCCCGTACCCTGGTGCATCATGGGAAGTAACAGCAGCCTGGAAGGCGTCAGCCCAAACCGCTGGACCACCAGGACGCATGTGGTAAGAAACCAGCTCGTACACACCTGAAACACAAACCTGCTGTAAAAACAAATGGTCTTTTTTGCCATGCATGTGTGTGTGTGTGAGGGGGTGGGGCATACCGCCCTCCTGTGGTGGCCTCTGCAGGTGGCTCCAGGGAACGAGGTAGGTGACCTCGTTGTCCTGAGACGTCAACATTGGTATCGCCTTGGAGATGTATTCTGAAATCCATGAGGGGTCGTGAGCCAGTGCCGCCCGCACCGCTGCCCGCTGAGCATAACTGTCTGATGGACGAGAGAGAAGGTCACTTACACATTAAAAACCAAGAAGAAGAACCTGTCCACTGAAGAAGAACGCACTCACCATACTTCCATATATGGAAAACCTGATTCAAGCCACCATACTCAACAGTCCAGTAGCCAATCAGCTCGGAGTGGGCAGTGCGCAGGTGGACCTTCTCATTAGTGAGTTTCAGGAAGGCTGCGTTCTGCTCTGGACGGATGCAGTACGTGCGGAACTCATAAAAAGTTTTGTGTTGCTGCTGGGGACCAGTTGAGAGACGCACACGAGGCTGCAGAGCAAAGACAAGACGGCAGAGGTCACACTCTGATCGTAAAACTGGGCCTCAGTCTCTGGGATGTGGACTACAGACTGGACCTGGATTAATACAGACTGCATCTGGATCTGGACTACAGAATGTGTATGCGAGTGTGTGTGTGTGTGTGTATGTGAGTGTGTGTGTGTTGCTTCCTCTGTTTAAACAGTTTAATGTTTAACTTCAGGTTTCAAGGTTTTGACCTTTTCAAAGAATCAGAGACTGAAACTGAACCTAAATACACAACATGGTGAGACCAGGTCTAAACAGGATCAGGTCTGAACAGGATCAGGTGTGATACTGGTACAGGAGTGAACAGGATCAG